ATTCTTTAGCAAGATTAACGTATTAGCTTTAGTTTGAGAAGCATTCCATCATCTACTACCAGGTGGTCCTATGCTTCATGGAACCAGAAACCTGGCATGACCAAAGGACCTGATTCCCTCACCCATTTTAAGCCTTCACACCTACATTTATAGAGAAACTTTGAGCCAAACCTGTCCTTCAAAAGCTGATGCACCTTTCTGCCAAGAAACTTTCCCCCTCAGGTTGGTGGACCCCTTGAAACGTGAACCCCCCCCCCATCAATTTATGTTCACAATTTTTGAGTTACGTTGTATCTATTTAAAACCAGAATTTGCATAAAAACTTCACTAAAATTAATTTTACAAAGTGGCCATATTCAATTTTTTTCCTTTCAGCAAGAATCCCATAGGGCTTTTCATTGCATGTCTCTGTTATCTCCTTTTATCCCTACCCCATGGTATTTTTGTGTTACTTCTGTTGCCAAGAGCATGCACTGCTAGTTCTAAGGCTCTATAAACTACCTGTTCCCTTCCCAAAATCTATTTCTTTAATTCTCTCTCAGCCTCCCTTGACTACCCATTTAAAAATAGTAAAACTTCTCTCTTTTCCTAACACTATGGTTCCACTTTCTGCATATCTCCTTAAGTTTCAAAAGCATATTTTCACAGAGCTGCAATTGAAATTAATTTTATGTATTTATTCTTTCCCAAATTACTAACCTTAAATATTACACTAGTATAATTAATTCAATCTTCATTGTATTCTAGGTTAAGCTATCATAATTCATGATTTCCTTATTGAACATTTAGGTGGTTTCGTTTTTCACGATTAAAACAATGTTCCAATGAACCTTTAGGCATCTTCTGGTGTGCTGTTGTGTTAGGTTCACAAGCGCAGGATTATTGACAAAAAGGTATTAAGTATGGTTATAGTCTTGGGAATGAGGTTGGAATAATCCAAGCAAAATGTATTCAAGGGTGATTGATAGATACTCTTTACCTTAAGAAAGTATAAATTAAATCATGAATGCAGACTGCTCCTTCTGCATTTATCCTGCAGGCAGTCCAGGTCATGATTTTGAGTACGTCCTTTCATTTTTAATCAACTTCTTCTCTTAGAGGTATATATATCAGCTTCCGAGGCTGAAGATCCCATGACGAAGAATGAACCACAAACACTTATTAAAATGTTATGAGAATATTACATATACTAGACATGTTCAGCTTAAGACATCTGTCAATGTCTTTTAACCTTATACAAGACAAATTTATTTTAAAAAGGCATTTGCAAGCAAAATAATTGTATTTTATTGAAAATTCAGAAGTTACAGTACTTTAAGACATTTTTACTTATTAGAAAGAAAAATAAGTTAAAAGAAAAAGAACGACTCAAGTGCAATGACATTTAGTTTTCATTTAAACTAACAATCATTTTGGAAAACAAATATCACAGCTTAATTTCTTTATGAGATAAACATATATTTTCCTATTTATTATCAAGAAAAGTCTAATGGAATAATTTTCAGAGTGATCTTTCAACACATCATCTTTCTCGACCCAATTTAAATGGCACATTAGTATTAGTATCTAATTCACATAAATCACTGGTGTGTGTGCATATGTGCCTAAGAACTAGCTAACCCGAAGAACACGTCTCCTCCATCACAGGGCGCTGCAGAGCCCCCTGCTCACTCGAGCCAACCACTGCGGACAGGTGCTTAGCCTAGTCGAGCACTAGTGGCATAAACCAGATTAACCACAGTACTGCCAAAGTAGGAACGATTGCAGCCATTTCATGTGAGGAAGTAGCTTGTTATACTTTTAATCAAAGTTTCTCAATTTTATGAAGGGGAAGCTAGTTGAGCCAGAAAGGTAAAGTAGACTCTGTTTTTTAAAAACTCAGTTCAACTTACCAATGTCAAATTTTTTCCTCAACAGAAAATATTGAGCAATTTTACTTATTACTTCCATGATCTCTATTCTGTATCTTCTTCCTTTCAGAGAAAGAAGTGAGGTCAAGGCCTGTTGTGAGCATGACCACCAGTAAACAAATGCCCTCGGAGCTCTGCGGCCGGACATCGACCGGGAGAGGCCCACAGGTGAGCTCCAGTAAGACCTGTGCGTTGCCACAGCTAGAAAGGGCTCTAATGTAGAACTTTACTATTTCAGTTACTGTGCAGTACTCTGTGGTTAGAGCACCCTCTGTGACGACTGTGAAACAGAGTGACAGCGGGCCTGCGGGGAAACTGACAGCTGCACATTGTATAAAACGCTTCAAAGTGTTAAGTGCATCCTCGGGAGAGGCAGAATGGTTTTAACAAAGGAGAATCCAAGAACAGAATTAAAACATGTGGCACTTGCAAAACAGTTCTTCTTTCATTTGGCAACACCATACAAATTGGTCTTTAACCAAGAAAAAACCCTAGTTCTTACTTAATTGTGGAGAAAACTGGCTGTGCCAGGAACAGATCCTCCCAAGAAAACTGTCTGGGAACCAGTGTTTTGACAAGTCCATTTTAAAACTGGTGAAACCCTTTTGGATGTGAAAGAATAGTGATAATGGACTAGAACAGAGGTTATCGGAGGTAAATAAAGCTTCACCCTAGTGGTAGAAAAGGCTCTCGGGCACCGGCTAGCGTCCAGATCAAAGGGGACTTGCCTGGGAGCGGGTGAAATGAAGTCATCCGCCAGAGGGCGATGAAGCAGCGATGCCAGACACAGTCTCCCTCTCCGGCGTCCAGGCCCTTAATATAGAAGCGAAAGCTGGTCTACTCAAAATATCTTCTCCAAAAATCTTTAGAAAACTAAATTTTCAGAGGAAAAATACTGCCCACTGATTTTTTTTACAAATAAAATACATCACAAAAATTCTTTATGAGTACATTTATACTTTACATCTAAATAGTGTTTGCTGTTAAGAATTAAAACGACTGTCGCCCTTTTTAAGTTCTTTTCTGAATTTCAACTTTTCTCTTGTACCTGGAGTGTTGATAATCTAGTGGATTAAGTGCTGGATGTCAGTTCAGCACTTGCTGGATGAGGAAGCCTGGTTAACAATGTGCTCAACATTTATTCATGCCAAATTTAAATTTTATCTATTACTATCATAAACTCATTGAAATTTAATTAGATGGATTCATTAGGAAAATAAACAGGTAAATGTATAAAAATAAAATTTCACAGACTAGAAATATTATTTAAAGACAGCTGACAAAAACTTGACAGTGCTTACTATTAGATAATGGTTTTAAAATCACTTTATACCACTATACATTTTCAAAAAATGCCTAATTTATTCTTAGATTCAAAATTATACAGCATTAGTTTCAATGAAAATTACTTTTCCTATAACTTCTTCCATAACATTTTTGACATAAAAGTATCACAAACAATTATTGGCAATAATGTAAATGTTTAAAAAAGATTTTGATTCATATGAATTTGTACCAAAATAAAGATTCTGATATTTCTTTAGGATTTTACTTGATGACTCATTCATGATGTAAGCAAAAAATACTTGAACTAAGTTAACATTTACATATAAAAATATAGTATACACTAGTGATCTTGGTATCTTGTACTATTACAAATTAGAGTACCACCAGCCTGATTAAAAAGTTCAAAATGTTTTAAAGGATGAATTTTTTAGAAAGCAGGAAGATTCTTAATGTTGTACACTTAATTTTAATCTTCCATATCAACAGAGTTTCTTTGTTTTGGCTAAGAACTGGGCTTGAATATGGAATAGAAAGAAGTATTTCTCTGGAAGAAAATGGAGTATCTCAATATTTAATAGTTTATTATTGTCTTTATTTTTTCTAGGCATGAATCTCTTTATGGTTTCTTCTGCCCATTCAGATCAGTAACAGGAAAGCCACACGGTAGGAAACTGCACAAATTCGGTATTTTGTCAGGTATCTATTTCCTGCCCGGCTGTGGCCCAGGGGACTGAGCATTGCCCCATGCACCAAGAGGTCACAGGTTTGATTCTCAGTCAGGGTACATGCCTGGGTTGTGGGTTCAATCCCCAGTGGGGGGCTACAGGAGGCAGCTGATCAATGTTTCTCTCACATCAATGTTTCTCTCTCTAAAAAAATCAATAAAAACATGTTGTTGTTGTTTTAAAAAAAGATGGTGCCTAAAAAAACCTAGAAAGGAAAAAAACAAGATAGCTTGGCACCTTCTACCAGCCAGCCGTCAAACCAGCAATGGTTTCTGTTCTGTGTTTTGAAAGAAAAGCTGCTGCGGCCCCTTGTGGGTGCGTGTGGCTGTCTGCGGGCTGAGGGCGCCCACTCTGCTCCAGGCGCACACACAGTTCAAACATCACCGGCTCTCAGAGCATAAAAAAATTAAATACACAACACTAAAACTAAACTGAATTTATTCTTTTTCTTAGCTGTGATATGAAAAATAAAAAGAACCCTAGACGGGAATCGAATGATCAGTTCTCCTGCTCTCAAGGCTGAGTGAGTTTGACCAAGTTACGTAGCCTTTCTGGGCACCGATTTCCTCAGGTGAAAACCAGGGAACTGCATTGCGCAACCCTTAGAGTCTTTGGAATTTGATTGCAATACCCAGGCAGACTCCTGCACAGTGCCTCAGAGTTTTCATTACGAAGATCAACTACCATTACAGAATAGTGTAAAAATAATTCTGGTTTTTATGGATTTCTGATGCTAACATTATGGTTAATGAGTTTCCTATACTTCCAGGGGTTAATCATAAGTATTTGGCTCTCTAATAAAAACATAATCGAGATATTTTAACATTATACACAGAGTATGCTTTGACATTCACTGAGTGGCCTGGAGTTTTGTTACTTACAGCCTCTAATTTTTATTGTTGAAATCCTGTTCTCTCTTCAACTGCAAAATAGCAGCATTATAAAAAGATTTTGGTTAAAGTTTTTCTGACTGAAAAAAGAATAGCAGGTGTCTTTTTATTCTTTAATTATTTAACATTTTAATTTTTTCAATTTTTAAAACTAAATTTTAAAAATTATTGCTAATATTTAATACAATTTACTGCCAAAATATCAATATTTTGTCAAAAGAAGAGAGTTTGGTTCTATTTTTAAGTATATGGCAATGTACTCTACTAGTTCCTGTTTTAATCATTTTCAGAATTGAGACAAAAGTAGAAGACTCATAATTCCACGTCAATTATTTGAAACCAGATGTAAAGCATGTTGAATTCAAATTCAGAGAGGGACTTTGTGGGGTACCAGATATAACTTTGGGAGTAGGGTAAATAATTTCTTCAACAGTTACATATGTACCTAACAAGAAACCAACAACTCCAGTGAACGCTATAGAAATATTCTTCAGGATCATCCATATATTGTAGTGTTCCTTAGAAAATGTGAGAATTTCGACCAAAGGGGGAAGGATCAGGGCCAAGGTGCTGCTGCTCACAGCGCCCACGAAGGAAATCACAATGTCTAAACGAGGAATCAGAACTGCGCCAGCACCTAGAAGATGAAAATAAATGTCTTAAATATTTAATACTTACAGGAGTACTAAATATAGGTATATTTCCAATACATTAAAGTTAATTAATGCAAGGAGGCACTATTAAACTGCTTGTGGAAGAATCTGTCATACTTTCTTGTAAGCTAAAAATGAAGACAAAGAACAGTGAGTGACATTTCTGGGACTTGGACCTGTCAATAGAGTTTATAAAAAATTATAAAAAAACTTAGTATTTTGCCGTGAGATTCTGGGCAAAGAAATTTAGAAAATTTATTTCCAAAAGCTTTTTCATGATTCTGACATTCAGCTCATTGTAGATGAGGCTGTGTGATATAAATAAATTAGAGAGAAAGGAAGCTAGCTGTTTCTTGCACCAGAATTTCAACTAAGCAAACACCACAGTGATAACTGTTGTTGGAAAAGTCACTGAAGGATGCTATAACTTGGCATAGTTTCAAACTATCTCTTTATAAGATAATTATAAAGGGACAAAGAGTTTCTTTACAGTGAAGATATCCCTCAAACACCTTCAACCAAGCGATCAAAGTTAACATTGTCACTAATAAAACATGTTGATACCATCAGTGTGATGATGCACTGAGAAATACAAAGCATCACCACTAGTGGAATTCTTATTAAAAATGCTTTACTTCAACCTAATCATAAGAAAGCATCATAAAAATCTAAACTAAAGGAAATTCTATAAACTTACTGAAAGTGTCAGGAAGAAAGATAGAAACTATCAAGACTACAGGAAACTAGGTAGACAACTAAATCAAATCAGGCTGCATTGGTTCCTGGATCAGAAAAGGGTTATTAGTGAGAAAACTGGAAAATTAGAATAAGGTTTATAGATTAGTAGTGTTGTATCAATTGTAATTTCCTGGTTTTAATAATTGTAGGAGGTAGGTCCAAAATGGTGGTGAAAGAGGACACGGAGTTTGCCCCCACCCATGAACACACCAAATGCCTGAATGTACACCTATATTTGAGCAATTCCTCCTGAGAGACAACTGAACAGCTTTTGCACAACAAAGGAGAGAGAAAGACCACACAGAAGATTAAGGAACAGTGGGAGCCCACCAAAAATATGAGGGAACCCATCAAGAACAGAGAAGCCGGTGAACACCACTGTTCACATGCCCCCTGCACTTGTACAGACCAACAGGAGCTCAACCAGGTGCTCTGGCTGACCTGCAAGGGTGCAGCAGCCCATCCCCAGCCATCTCTCATGGAGCTAGCTCCAGCAGGAAACAAGAGTGAGCCACAGTAGGTGTACACAGCAACCCCCTGCCACATCTGGAGCTATAATCAGCAGGCCCAAGAGGGTGCTGAAGCTCCTCTTCACCTGACAGCAGAAAAGCTCATACACACCAGGTTGTACCACCCAGAATCTGCAATTTCTGGCCAGGCAGCGACTCAGGAATCCCACACCCCAGCGTCTACACAGATGCCACTTTTAAACAAGACCATTTTTTCCCCCAAGATTGGGAGAGATCACTATCTCATCTAACTCACAGGAACAAACACTGAAAATCAAACAAAATGGGGAGACAGAAGAATATGCTCCCAATAAATTAAAAAAAACAACCTGGAGAAAACCTAAAACAGAGATCAATAATTTGCCTGATAAAAAATTTAAAGACACAGTCATAGGATACTCGAGAGCAGAACAGAGGAACTCAGAGACAACTTCAACAGTTAGAAAATAAAATAAAGAACCAATCAGAGATGAAGAATACAACTACTTAAAAACACATTGGAAGAAACTGGTAACAGGTTAGTTAACACAAAAGAACAGATTAGTGATCTGAAAGACAGAGTAATGGAAAGTACCCAATCAACACAACATGAAAAAGAATTTTAATGAGAAAAGTATAAAGGATCTCTGGCACAACGTCAAGCACTCAAACATTCACATTATAGGGATTCCAGAAAAAGAAGAGAAAAAGACAGCAAGTATATCTGAATGGCTGAAAACTTTCCTAATTTGAGGAAGGAAAAAGACATCAAGGTCCAGAAAGCAGAGAGTCCCAAAAAAGATGAACCGAGAAACTCATATCAAGACATACTGCAATTAAAATGGCAAAAGTTAAGGATAAAGAGATAATCTCTAAAGCAGCAAGAAATCTCAAGGGAAAACTCCTAAGTCTATCAGCTAATTTCTCAGGAGCAATGTTAAGGCCAGAAGGGAATGGCAGGAACTAAAGTGCTGATAACAAGGAACCTAAAATCTAGAATACTAATCCCTGCAAGGTTATCATTCAGAATCCAAGGAGAGAGAAAGAGCTTCCAGACAAACAAAAACTAAGGAGTTCACAACCACTGAAATGGCTTTAGAAGAAATACCATGGATCTTCTTTATGCAGAAAAGAAAAGGTGATAACCTAAACTAAGAAAATACAGGGAAAAAATATCACTGGTAAAGACAAATACATAATAAACACAGTGAATCCATTACTTAAAAAAGATAAAAGGTTAAAAGACAAAACTAGCAAAATAAACTACAACTACAATAAATAGGGGATATATAAAACAAAAAGATATAAAACATTCCATTAATAACAAAGCATGGAGAGGTAGTAAAAATGTAGTGCTTTTAGAATGCATATGAACTTAAACACATGTGATCTTAAAATAGACTGCTATAGATAAAGATGGATATAGGGTAACCACAAACCAAAACCTACAAAAAATACCCAAAAAATAAAGAAAAAGAAACCCAAACAAAACACTCAAGAAAACCGGCATACCACAAGGAAAGAAATCGAGAGAAATAGAAAAAAAAAAAAAAAAATTAACAAAATGGCAATAAGCACATACCTATCAATAAATACTTTAAATTTAAATGGACTAAATGCTGCCATCAAAAGACACACCCCGGCAGAATGGATTAAAAAAAGACCCCCGCTATATGCTGGCTACAAGAGATCCACTTTAGATCAAAAGATGCACAATGACTGACTGAAGGAATGAAAAAAGATATTCCATGCAAATAGAAATGAAAGAAATCTGGGGTAGCAACAATATATCAGACAAAATAGACTTTAGAACAAAGAATTTAAAAAGAGACAAAGATATTACATAATTATAAAGAGGCCTATCCAAGAAGATATAACAATTGTAAATATATATGCATACAACATAGGAGCACCCAAATATATAAAACAAGTGTTAATGGACATACAGAAATTAATACCCCACTCACCTCAATGGATAGATCATCCAAACAGAAAATTAGTACAGAAATAATGGCTCAAAATGTCACATTAGACTAGAGCAACTCAATAGACATTTTTAGAATATTTCATCCCCAAATTGCAGAATACACATTTTCTCTACCGCATGTGGTACATTTTCCAGGACAGACTACATATTAGGCCACAAAACAAACCTCAACAAATTCAAGAAGACAGAAATCATAACACACCTCTTTTTTGACCAAAATGGTATAAAATTAGCAATCAACTACAGGAAGAAAACTGGATAAAAAACAAATACATGAAATTTAAATAACATGTTAATAAACAACCAATGGATGAAAGAGAAAATCAAACAGGAAATCAAAAACTGCCTTGAGACAAAATGAAAACACAATTTTCAAAAATGTATGGAATATAGTAAAAGCAGTTGTAAGAGGAAAATTTGGAGCTAAACAGGCCTACCTCAAGAAATGGAAACTGCCAAATAATCTACCTTTACATCTAAAGAAACTAGAAAGAAGAACAAAGAAAATCCAAAGTGAATCCTACCAAACATTTAAAGAATAATTAATACCTATCCTTCTCAAATTATTCAAAAATAAATAAATAAAGAGGAAGAACTGCTTCCAAACTCATTCTATGAGGGCAGCTTTACCATAATACCAAACTAGACAAAGATACTACCAAAAAGAGTACTACAAGCCCTGAAGGACATAGATGCAAAACTTCTCAATAAAATACTAGGAAACTGAATTCAACAAAACATTTAAAGAATTATGCCCTGGCTGGTTGGGCTCAGCAGTTGGAGCCTCGGCCTGTGGACCAGAGAGTCCTGGGTTTGGTTCCCACTAGGGCCACATACCAAAAAAAAAAAAGAATTATGCACCATGATCAAGTGCAATTTATACCAGGGATGAAAGGATGGTTCAATATCCCCCAAACAATTAATGTGATACATTCAATCAACAAAACCAAGAATGAAAATTATATGGTCATCTCAACAGATAAAAAAAAAAAGTATTTTACAAAATTCAACATCCATTTATGATAAATACAAAAAAATGGGTAGAGAAGGAACTTACCTCAACATGATAAAGGCTATATATGATAAGCCTATAGCTAAAATTACACTAAATGGTGAAAAGCTGAAAGCTTTTCTTCTAAGATCAGAAACAAACAAGGACACTCTCTCACCATTATTATTCAATATAGCATTGGAAGTCTACCACAGTCCTCAAACCAGATAAAGAATTAAAAGGCATCCAAAATGTAAAGGAAGAAGTAAAACTGTCATTATTTGCAGATGACATATTATATATTGAAAATCATACAGAATTTCTCAGAAAACCAATAGAATAAATGAATTCAGTATAGTAACAGGATACAAAATTAATTTACATAAATCCATTGCATTTCTATATACTAATAATGATCACAAAGAAAAATTAAGAAAATCCAATTTACAGCTAATTCAAAAAGAATAAAATCTATAAATAAATTTAAAGTGAAAGACCTATATCTGAAAACTATAAGACACCAAAGAAAGAAATTGAAGAGAACACCAAAAAATGGAAAGACATACTGTACTCATGGATTGGAAGGATTATTATTAAAATGACTGCACTACCCAAAGCAATCTATAGATTCAATGTAATCCCTATCAAAATACCAATGGCATTCTTCTCAGAACAAATAATTCTAAAATTTATATGGAATCTCTCTCTCACACACACACACACACACAAAACACAAATAGCCAAAGCAATCTTGAGAAAGAAGAACAAAGTTGGAGATATCACCCTTCCTGATATCAAACTATATTACAAAGTTATAATAATCAAAATAGTATGGTACAGGCACATAGATGAATGGAACAAAAGAGAGCGCCCAGAAATAAACATTCACTTATGTGGTCAATCTACAAGAAAGAAGGCAAGAATCTACAATGGAGAAATGACAGTCTCTTTAACAAATACTGGGAATACTGGACTACTCTCTTACACCATATACAAAAATAAAACTCAAAATAGGTTAAGGGCTTAAAAAATGTAAGACCTAAAACCATAAAACTCCCAGAAGAAACCATAGGTATCAAACTATTTGATATCAGTATTAGTAATATATTTTTGTATACGTCTCCTCAAGCAAGGTAAACAAAAGCAAAAATAAACAAACGGGACTTCATCAAACTAAAAAGCTTCTGCACAGCAAAGGAAACAAAACAAAAAGACAACTTGCTGAATAGGAGAATACATTCACAAATGACATATACAATAAGAGGTTGATACATCCAAAATATATAAGGAACTCACACAACTCAGTAACAAAACAATAATCTCATAAAAAAATAAAGAGCAGAAAACCTGAAGAGACATTTCTCTAAATAAGACATACAGATGGACAATAGACATATGAAAAAATGCTCACCAGCACTAATCATCAGAGAAATGCAAATGAAAATCATAAGATACCACTCCACACCAGTCTGAATGGATGTTACCAAAAATAAATAACAAGCGTTGGCGAGGGCACCTTGTGCACTGCTGGTGAGACTGGAAATTGTAGTAGCCACTACGGAAAACAGCATGGAGGTTCCTCAAAAAGCTAGAACAGAACTACCATATAACCCAGCAATTCCACTTCTGGGTATTTATCCTAAAAAAAGGAAAACACTAATTCAAAGATATGTATGCTCTCCTATGTTCACTGCAGCATTATTTACAGTAGACAATATATGGAAGTAACCAAGGTGTCCACTGATAGATGAATGGGTAACAAAGATATGGTACATATATACAATGGAATATTACCCATCAATAAAAAGGAATGAAATCCTGCTACTTGCCACAACATGGATGGACCTAGAGGGTATCATGCTACGTGAAATAAGTCAGACAGAGAAAGACAAATACTGCATAATTTCCTTTTATGCGAAACTAAAGAAAAAAATCTAAATATACAAACAAAAAAAGACTCATCAAAACAACAGACAGAGGGGTGGAGAGATGAGTGAAAAAGGTGAAGGAATAGTCAGTAATAATTGATAAATGTGCATGGTGATAGATGGTTACTAGACAGTGTGGTGAGCACACTGTAAGATATATCAATGTCGAGTCACTATGTTGTGCACCTGAAACTAATATAATATTGTATGCCAACTATAATAAATGATTGCTCTGAAAATGAGTTTTATGTACTTTAACCAGCTTTGCTTTTTCTTTAAACAAAATGGAATACACCGAATTCTTTATAATTAGGCATAAGCTCTACCCCACACTACTCAATGCAATTTACAGAGTTGCCCAGAATGTCTAGTTCTACCATCCTCTAACTTTGAATGGCCAACTTGGTTAAAAGTATCTTCCACAGAATGTCCAAAGCTGGTTGTTCCCACAGAACACCAGTAATCTGGTCCCTGGTATCATTCTAGGCAATCCTTTTAGTCAGTTTAGTGTTGCAGTTATCCTTCTATTTGTAGTTATAATAATCATGGTAATGATAATAACTTTCAGCTACTTTTTAAATATTTTTAAACTCTACAAAAGTGCCATAAGGAAATCTTATCTTTATTTCATAGTTGAGGAAAGAGGGGCTCAAAGATGGTATGCAACTTCCCTAAAGACACCAACAAGAAAGTGGTGTCTGAGTTTGAACCATCAGTTTAGTGAGACTCCAAATTCACACTCTTTCCAGTATACCAAACTCCTTTTCACAAGTCTGCATTAGTAATGCCTGTAGAGGTATCTCCTAATGTGAAATCTTAACAGCACATTATATACACTCAAATAAGTAATTATTAAAGACCAAAACAAAACTCATTTCCATAGACAATTAAACTGTTAAATATACAAGAGTTAGCAGGAAAAAACCCCGAGGAAAGCTACAACCAAAGTAAAATGTGTATTAACAATATAAGGGGTCCCTTATACATTTGATTTAAATATTTTTATTATTATTATTTTAATCCTCACTCGAGGATACTTTTCCGTTGCTTTTTAGATAGAGCAGAAGGGGGAGAAAAAGAGAAATAGCGATGTGAGAGACTCATCGATTGGTTGCCTCCTGCACAACACCCACCAAGACGGGATCAAACCTGCAACCCAGGCATGTGGCCTTGACCGGGAATCAAACCCGCAACCCTTTGGTCCACAAGCTGACGCTCCAATCGCTGATCCAAACTGGCCAGACCTTAAATATACTAATATTTTAATCACAACTGATGTCATTTTCAAAATATAATTTGATTAGTCCTTCTAAATGTGATAGTATCTGGTTGTGTTTTTCTTATATAGCAGAATAAAATTTTAAACCAACAAGTATCCCAGCTATGTTAATATAATTGTTCAGAAATATTTAAAAATATACTTTAAGTTGCTTTACTATAAGAAATTTTTTAAAAAGTATGATATAAATATGTAGTGATACTTACAAGTAATACTAACCAAGATGGACCTTATCACAAATTCACAGATTTGTTTCCATTTAGCCTGAAATTTGGATGTGATCACAGGTATAATAATCTCTGCTGGAACATAGAACTGAATGGAATATGTCACAAAGATGCCAAAGGAATACAGAATTTTCACTGATTGATATAACCTGTTAAAAAATTTTCAAAATCTAGTCATTCTTTTTTTCCAGTTTACTTAGGTACAACTTAAAAATAAAACTGTAATATATTTAAAGTTTACAATGTGATAACTTGAGATGCATATACATTGTGCAAGGATACCCACAAGCGAGTTAACAGACCCAGCACCTCACATTACTTTTTTTTTTAAGTGAGAATACTTGGTTCTACTCTCTTAGCAAATTTCAATTATACAACTCAGTATTACCAACTATCGTCGTCGTGTTATACATTAGATCCTCAGACCTCATTCATCTTATAACTAAAAGATTGTACCCTTTTATAGAGCTTTCTTCTCTTCCCCCATCCACTAGCCCCTGGCAACCACTAATGCACTCTTTGTCTATATGCACTGGACTTTTTCCTTTTCTTCTTTTGATTTCACATATAAGTGACACCATGCAATATCTGTCTTTCTCTGTCTGGCTTATTTCACTTAGCATAATACCTTCCAGGTTCATTCGCATTGTTATCGTAATATAAATCTAGCTTTCTACCTTTTTATTTTTCAGGTTAAGATAGACAAGAAATCCAACACAAACGAAGGCCAGTATATTATTATTCAATATTGTAATCAAAAGAAAAGAACCCCACTGCACATGTGCCCCTTGTGCAACCTGGACACTACTCTAGGTACATTCCCTCTATCATCACTGGCTTCTAACATACATTTATTCAGACACCAGTTCTGACTCCAATAAAGATATAGGATTCAAATGATTACTTAATGGGAGACAAACTTGCATCAGGCAGTCATAAGATACTTAACATTTAAGGTTTAAGCAGCTAAAGAAGCAGCATGACATTAATTAAATCAATTTAGCATTTATTGTCTGCGTTTATCAAAACTAGGAGTTACCTTCCATTCTATAAATAAGGAAGCAAACATGCATGGTAATCACAGACAAAATCTCTCTTCAATCTCCAAAAACCAATCTCTGAAAAAGGAAACACCCTATATATTGCTTCATTTAGCAGAATATGGTTCTACTATTAAAGAGAATTTAAGACACCATATTATTTATTTATAATGTGCCCTGTGTTCTGAAAGCATTTGGGGTACTTACACTACTAAAGCTGACCACTACAACAGTGGGGGACATAAGTGACAGGTTATATTATTTTACCAGGAACCCAAAGTGTTGGATTTTTTGGCAGCAAGGATAAGTGTTAAACTTTTTATTAAAGTGTCCATATTAAAAGAATCCATGTTTTACTCTTCTACTTTACTCAATTTTGAAACATCCTACAATTTTTAAGCTTTCTAAAAATCCCACAAGGATCTTTAAAATCAAAGGTGGCCTCTTCTGAAGTTTACAAAACTATTCTAGATTACACAAAAAAATCATATTTAAACTATAAATCTAACAATTCACCTTTATCAAATATTGGCAAACTATATAAAATATAAAACCTAGGATTAAGAAACTCATAGCTACCTACCATATATCTTGAGGAAGATTTAAAGTTATGCTGCCTTTGATTTCGTCCTGAAAACACATGTACCCTAAGGTAGCTAGTGTTACATACAAAGTTGTAACAATTATCATGCCAATATTCAATGCTAGGGGAAAGCGTTTTGATTCTTTCATTTGATTTTCAAGTGGAAGGACCTAAGAAAATACAAATAATACAAATCATTTAAAACAATCTAGTATCTTGTCTCATATATACACAAAGTAATGTTTCTATAGTTAATATGCAAATCTTTTTCCTTTAAAACATTTATAATTGTTGAAGTATTTTTCTAGGTGTTTTATATATATACTTATTTTTATTTTTTTACACTACAGATTTTAAAAGCTCTTAACAGTCAAACAGGTTTGTTTTTTAAAAAAATAAACTTGAACACTTCTCCCTGTTAATAATTTACATAACCAAAGTATATTTGTCACAATTAAGAACCAACAAAGGCACATTACTATTAAACTTCAAACTTGATTTGGATTTCACTAGTTTCTCCACATGTCCTTTTCCTGTTCCAGGGTCCATCCCACCAAGGACATCACATTGCATTTTGTCACCATGCCTCCTTAGTTTCCTCTGGTCTGAGAAAGTTCCTCAATCTTTCCTTATTCTTCAGTATCTTGAAAGTTCTGAGAAGTACTGGTTAGGTACTTAGTATAATGTCCCTCTATTTGGGTTTGTCTGATGTTTGACTAGACTAGGATTGTAGGTTTTAGGAAAGGATATCACAGGGGTGAAGTGCTCTTCTCATCACACCTGTAATCAACATTAGTTATCACTGGTGAAGTTCATTTTGATCACTTGGTTAAGGCAGTGTTTGCCAGGTTTCTCTGCTGGTAAAGTTAATTTCTTCCCCCTCAACCTACTCTGTTCCTTGGAAGCAAGTCATTCACTGCAGCCAGCCCACACTCCAGGGACCAGGTGGGGGATCAAGCTACACCTTCTGGAGGTGGAGCAGTCACAAAAATTATTTGGAAATCCCCCTTATTCGATTAAATTATGTACTTATTTAATCATATGTTTATATTAGTATGGATTCATGTATTTTTTTATACTTTGAATATGAATCCAAAACACTGTTATTGATGCTACTCATTGTCCCAGCTTTGGTCATTGTAAATTCTACCAGGTTGGCTGCTGTGTCCTACTGACCTGCCCCCATTCTTTTGTTTTTTGAGCACTTCCATACTTTCTGGCACTATAAGATGCTCCAGACTCATCTTGAATTTTCATGCTTCAGCCCTAAAATTGGCCATTTCTCTGAAGAACTTTGTAGGAAATGGTATTTAGAAATCAAGATCTGGGTGTGTGGTGTGCTTGCTGCTGGAAACCATACGTACAGTAACCCATGTATACACATGTCTATAATTTTCTGTATCTTTCCATCTGTATATATTGTCTGTTAATTTAGTGAGATGAATAAATTATTTTCATTATGTAAAAAAAGTAAAGGAAAAGAAAAAAGGCTAATTGAAAAGTTAAGTTTTTAGGCAATCTTCATAGATTCTTGCCATATGATTTGACCATACTGTAAAAGACACTAAGTAGTAACAATAGTAATTATTTCCTGAGAGCTTAGAGTGTGCCATATATTTTTTGAAAAGCTTTGCATGTACCATAGTACATCATCTTCACAATAACGCTATGGAATAACTCCTCTAATATTATTTCCACTTTTCAGGTGAATACATCAGATCCACATGGAAATCTTAACTGGTCAATAGGAGAGAGAACAGGAAACAATTTGGATGCTGTAGAGATAGTCCAGGCCTGCAATAAGGGGCTACGGTCAAGAATGGTGCCAGTGAAGCCAGGAAAGGGGAAGGGGAGAAAATGAACATTTGTGAGGGCACCCTCTGTGTGAAGCAGCACTGTAGGTGCTTTGCATATAATCTCACGGAACAGATGTGAGGAAACATGAAAGAAGAATCAACAGGCCGTAATTACTTACTGGAATGAGTAAACCAGTGACAGAGTGAAAAGAATTATTCCAATGTTTCCAGTCTGAGTGACTAAAAGTAAGCTACAAGAAACAGGGAAGTGAGAAAGTAAAGCTGGTTTTGCCTAAGAAAGTATGCTTCAGACTCTGGAGATGCTGAATTCGAGATGTCAGAGAAACAACACTTAACTCTAAATGTCCAATAGTTAACTGAGGTTTGGTAGGAAATGACAGAACGAAAATCTGAATGGAATATGCCTGTGCATAAGTGATAAGTGCAGCTCTAAGAACTTGTGAGAATTCTCTAAAGGAGAATTCAGAGAGCAGAAACCCAAGTAAAATTGACTTTTAGGTCTATTTTGTCTGTCGTTCATATAAACAGGTGCTTAGAAGTAGTTCTGCTCCCATAACAAAACCATCAGATTATGAAACATAAGCTATGGGGTAGTCAGCAATATTCTATTTTCCACAAATCTACACATTCTAGGCTTTAAAAAGCATCCTGAATGGAAACATTTAAGATCTTAAAATCCTAAGGAAGCTTGTATCTCTTGGAATTAGCTTTATGCTAACACTATTTTTCAAAACAACTATGCACAAATCTAAAGGGAGAATTTATATTTGACTTCTTATGAAATAGTAACACTGTAACAATTCCAATCACTTCAAATCATCTAGCCTATACAATATGACATCTGGAATTTGTCTGAATACAACCCAGGCTTGGCAGAGTAGATGGAATTCAGATAAAACAAAATTGACTGTGAATTAATGGTTTTTGAAGCTAGGTGATGCTTACATAAAAGTGCATCATATTATTCCCTAAATTTTGTACAGGTTTGAAGTTTTCCATAATAAAATGTTAAAAATCATCTAATCTAATGATCTCATGTTACAGATTAAAATAAAGAGAATTAGAGTTTAAATGATATATCAAAGACTAAACTCTTGGCTAGTGGAAGAACTAAACTATAATTCGTCTGTTATGCCAAAATACAAATCATGTTCCAGAAATAATTAGAAAGAAAAGTATACATTTTTAAATGTAGCTTGACCAAATAAATCTTTGTCTTACAATTTAAAAAAATAATAAAGACAAAATTCTTACCACTCCTATGCCTTCAAAAGCAAACACAGCAGTACCAAAAAAAAGTGGGTATTTTTTCCAACCAGCCACTATTGGAAGGTTGTGGGGATCTGGCATATTCTGGAGAAAGAAAGAAAAAAATAAGGCAAGTTACATCTGTACTTATTTTGAAAAGAAGTTTAAATGAAATTCACAAAATCACACACTTCTGAGCTTCACAGCAGCAAGTATGGGGAGGGACAAAAGTAGGTTTACAGTTATGAGTACCCGAAACACTTTATTCTTATATTATTAATTATTGTATTATTTCCATATGAACCAATGTAAACCTACTTTTGTCCCACCCTGTATGTGTTATAAAAGTGACTAATTCTTTCAACAAGCACTTTAAGCATCCTATGTTAAATGTAGCCAAGCTGTTAGGATTTCACTGCCAAAAGCAGTTGTTTTCCTCATGCCCACACATTCCATCTGAGCTAAATGCTCCTTATTACCTGTTTCCACCTGCAAGTCTCAGGCTGTTCACACTGGGTATGGCTCCTGCCACAACAGGAAATATATAAGCACACTCAAGGGCTGAGCAGAGCCATGTAATCAGTTACCAGCCACTACAGATGGTGTTCACAAAATTCACCCTCCACTCTACTTTCATTGCTTTCTATCTCTAAGGAACCTGGCTCCTGACTGACTTTCTACCTCATCACTCTGCTGCTTCCTAGCACAGGTCTCCTCGTTTTCAGTGTTTTCGTCTTTGACCTGACAGGTGACATTAACCTTATTACTTGTGCACATGCCTTGACTCTGACGACTCGGTCCTGACTCATAGCCTTGTTCCAGCTCTCACCATCTGGATCTCTGGCTCCACAATGGCCACTTCCTCCAGCTTCCCCAAGTCTGGTCCCTCCTCTCCTCGTCATCCTGTGTTCTCTGCCTTATCTGACTGGGAGTGAAATTCAAGGCCAAGGAAAAAAGGTGAACTAAGAAAGTGAAGTGTGAAAGCACACAGGTAATTTGAGAAATAGAGAGGTCTAGAACATCTGAAACATAGGTAGAATTGGGTGATTAATGGTGATACATGACCTAAAACATAAGCTAGGGTCAGAATAAAAAGGGTTTTAAAGTGTTTGGATCATTTGATAGCATTAAACTGTTATTCAAGGCTCACACTGCTCCCTCTATTTAAGGAACCTCCTTTTCTGCTCCACTAACTTGTTCAGAAAGCCTTGAGGTATTCCTGCCTATCCCCTTCCACTCTTACGTGCTGTGAGAAAGTGTCTACAGGGTTTGGAATTGGGGGGGTGGAAAATACATCCATCATAAGAGAGTCTGTAATGAATTGCAGTTGGAGATTTCAGAACAATGCCTTTGGCAGCAATATGTAAGATGGACTGGACTGGGAAAGACTAGAACAGGGAGTCTCCACCTTCCTTGAGTCACTAGCCCGTCTGAGAGATGAAAGCTGTACAGCTGCTCAATAGAAAGCACATTTATATACAGAGAAACGCTAACTCTTACAAATAATTTTAAGGGATTTTATCCCATCAATAGATACTTTATTTTTTTTAATCCTCACCTGAGGATTTTTTTATTTTTTATTTTGCATTTATCCTCAGACAGAGCAGGAGTGGGGTGAGGGAGAGAGAGAAACATAGATATGAGAGAGACACATCAAGTGGTTGCCACCCATATGACTCCAACCAGGGCCAAACTACAACCGAGGTATGTGCCCTTAGCGGGAACCGAACCCGGGTCTCTCTGGACCGCAGGCCGACGCTCTAACCGCTGAGCCAAACCGGCCAGGGCCCATCAATAGATTCTTTTAAGGAAAGTGGGTTAAGAATCCAGGACTATGAACAATAAAATCAGTTCAGGTTAGTGCATACTTCGGATACAGAGGTTACAGACTAGTGTAGTGTTAGTGGACTGAAGTGGGTGGCAACAAATAAAGGTTCGAAAGTGAAAGGAAATTATAAAATTACATATATAGTCCCATCTCTTGTGATTGGCTCAATCTTAAAGGAATAAACAAGACACTACTAAGTTCTTTGTTTCATGTTAGGCAGTATACCAGGGCATGGCCCTAAACTGCACAACTTTAACAGGGGAGGTATTACTATCCTCTGAAGCAACACCATAAAACCCAGAAGCAGTTGCCAAGATTCAATACCAGATATGACTATGAAGCCTGCACTTTAAATCCCTAGGTCATACACTTTTCCAATAAGCAATATCCTCCAAAAGAAAAGCAGAGTTGACTGATTATCTCCTGTGTGTCGCATGTGATGTAGGGGTCTTCACATATCACTACTTTTACCCCCAAAGTTAACAATGAATTTACTTATTAAGAAACGTGACAGTAAAAACTTGTTATACTTACCCTAACAATGTATTGATAAATGATCACAAGACTGACAGCCATGGAAATGTTGGCAAGGAATGAGAGCACAAACAGATTCTTTAGCTCCCGAATGAAGACCAAGAGAATTATAAATGGAAGAAAGCAAAGCATATATATCCTTAGGTCAGTACTTTTTCTCTCGCATGGAGTCGATGAATTGGTACCATTCAAAACAGACACTGTACTCTCCAGGAACCCTTCATGAACCTACACAGGATTGTTAAAAGAACAGGAAAGGTGTGGGGGGGATAATCATAAAAGGGAAATACAAAGAAACTTATGATCTATACACAATGATAAATTCCTTTAAAATATTTACATTTTTTCAAGATAATCCAGCTTTCTAGAAGTGTGTGTGTGTGTGTGTGTGTGTGTGTACACACATAATTTAAGGAAAATCAAAATAGGACACTCTTCTTTGCAAAATAACTTTTTACCATACTGTGAACAGAAAGGTCACTAGACAATTATGAGGGTAGATTTGCTGATTTATTTTGAAGCTTTGTGACTAACCATGATGCTTCATGATCCCTGCAAAGGCTCAATCTGCTCCTGAGATAATCTAAAGAGGAGGCATACTTGTCTAGAATGGCCATTGCTATGCTACTTCAGCTTATTTTCTTCACAGTAGAAAACTCTAGCCCTGGCCAGTTTGGCTCAGCGGTAGAGCATCAGCCTGCAAACCAATGAGTTGTGGGTTCGATTCCAGCCAAGGGCACATACCTTGGTTGTAGTTCGTCCCTAGCCCTGGTCAGAGTCATGCAGGAAGCAACCAGTCGATGTGTCTCTCTCATGTCAATGTTTCTCTCTCTCTCCCTCTTTTTCCCTCCCACTCTGTCTGAAGATAAATAGAAAAATATCCTTAGGTGAGGATTAAACAAACAAACAAAAAAAGAAAACTCTAAGTACCTCTAAGAAATGTGCAGTAGTCAAAATAAAATTTAGAAATCACAGTAACTTTAAAACTGTTTTATAAATCAAATCAATTGTTTATAAATTATATCAATATTTACTAAGAATCCACTAAATTTATGCATGGCCATATGCTAGACAGTAGATACATTTTTGCTAGAGCAAAAAATTTCTTTAAGATAAATCAACTTTACCTTAAAATTTATTCAGCCACTTTTATAAACCAATATTGTTTTCAAAAGCAATACAATGATTTATAGGATCCATGTATTAAAAACTGTCTCTGATTCAATTAGCCACATAACCCAACTCACTAAAATAGAAATGAAATGATAGAGAACTTTAAAAACAATCTTAAAATTCAGAGCAGAGGCAGATCACACCATAATTTAAATACCAGTGAAAATCTATTTGCCCCCTACTCTGTACCCTCCTTTGAACACAATGACATTATCAAGTTTCTGAATACATAAATTCTTAAGAACTAGGCCCTACAGTAATAATAGCAACAATTTTTTAGTACTTCCTACATGTCTACGTGTCTACATAACATCTCATTTAATCGTCAAAACAACTCCTTTATGTGGGTGGTAATATTAATTTCATTTTATAGTTGAGGAAACTGAGGTTTATGGAGGGTAAAAAAACCGTCCATAATAACAAGCCAGTAAGTGGTGGTTCTAGAATTCAAACCTAGGCGTGAAACCCCAGAATCTAGTGTGTAACAGCTACCTGTTAACCTGACCAAAATACTGCAACCCTGCCCAAGTGGCCACCTGGCCTCCAACATCTCTCTCTCTAAATACAGTAAGTATTAACAGGTCAACAAATCAGAGGTTTAGAACAAAATTCTCATATGATTAATAATTCAAGTGTCTCCTTTAATTTTATACTTGTAATCCACAATAAGCAACATTTAGTGTCACTAAAAATGTGTACTTCATCTGAAACTGCAGGGACTATATCTACTAGTTTCAAGTTATAAAGGCAATTTATTACACATACTGTTCTAACAACCTCTCAGGTTACACCATGCACCATTTAAAAAATGGGTAACTCACTTTAATCTTGTAAGTGGCAATCAAAATTTTACATTTTATTTTCTAGAATATGAAATAGAAGCTAAATTGGTGATCCACATTACTTGGCTCTTAAGAAGATATTTTATTTGTTGACTCAATTTTCTCAGTAACCACTTTATTTGGAGCCAAATACTTCTGCATCAAAGTAGTAACTCTAATAATCAGATTAGGTAATGATCAGAGTCAAGATCTAAGAAGGATAGCTGGCAAGAGAAAAGCAGTTACATAACCAGTTTTAAAAAGGGCTATTTGAATCATTAGGTGCTTGGGAATCTGAAATTAATTCTATCACAAATATCTCATAATTTAGTATTCTTTGGCAGAACAATGGTTATAAAAATTTTCAGGATTAAAAAAAAAAATGTAGATACATACCCAGAGCAAGATTCAGGTAAACATTTGAGTCCTTTGGTGCCCTCTAGAGACAGAGATTGGCTATCTAATAGGACTTCCTATGATCTCACATGTTTACCAAAATGCAAAACACTGAAATAAATATTATAAAATAAAATTACTAAATTCAGTTGTTTCCATTTAGAGCTCAAATTGACTAAAAACCACTACTTATTAAATTTTCAATTATTCAGTAATTTAATGGTTAAAATTCCAAGGCAGATTACATTTCTCAGCAAAGCTAAAATCAAAATCAAAGCCGTAACACCTACATTTGTCTGCTGCTTTACATTTCGCAAAGGCTTTCACAAACCTATCAGCTAAGCCTCATAAAAAGTTTATGAGGAACAAGGGGAGCTTCTGTTACTATTCCCATTTTACAAACAAGAAAAGTGAGACTTCAGCAGGGATAAAAGAGTCTTGCCCAATGTGTGAGTTAAAACAGAAAGCAGGGATTTGAATGCAGATCTTATGGCTCTAAAGTCCATACCAAGTCTTTGGTACAGCTACATTTTTTTTTCTTAATGTAATATCCCTTCCCCACTCTTCATGCCCATATATATACCATTTTATCTATCTGAAATGTTCTAGAGGATCTTAGTTAAGAACAGAGAGGTACTATGACCACAATAGACTAAATTACGGGAAGCACTACGGCTTTTTCACTCTCCGTGTGTCCATGTGGCTTGATGAGACCAAGAACAAACAGCCACATGGCAGCTACAGGGCAGAAGGTTTACACATCTGTATAATAACAAAATCCTTCTTTAGTCTGATGAAATACTACACTTTCAAGTTTACTTAGATGAAGGTAGTAATAATCTTACAGTTTTGAACTGTAACAGTAGCAGTTGGCAAGGTTTAATCCACCTGTGTGTCCACTACTGGAGACTGCTACCAAATGTGAGAGTGCCTCTGCAGAGAGAGTCAACTCCCCGCTGCTGCTGTTTCAGTGACCATGTCTGATCTGCCGAGACGCCACGTTCATCATTCCTTTCAACTCTTCTCAAGTCTCAATGAATGTCTTTTTCCATGTTGCTCTTCATGCCTCAAAAAGACTTTCATTTTTCTATCTATAACAGGCATTCTTCTTACCTCTCAAAGAGTCACTTTTCTACCTGGTATTCTAGCATATGTGCAAATGAGTTAAATTCTATTTAACTTTGGAAGCAACTAATAATAGTTTATAGGAGAAAGTCACCAATTCTAAGCTTACAGACATGTATTTTATGTACTTTATATTCTCTATGTCACACACACATACACAACACTAAAATCAGACAATGTTCTGTCCAGTGATGAGCAATTAATGTACTGGGTGGAAGCTGTGTCAGAGACCTAGATTTCAGCCTAATTCACATGACGTAGGGCACACTGCTCACGCATGGCAAGGCTATGAGCACAGTACTTACATTACAGAATAGTTGTAAAGATTAAATGATATATGTCACAGATTATAAATATAAGATTATAAGGTATTAGCATTATCCATTATTCATAAATTCAAATCAAGCTTGTTGGTTGCTCTCTTAGGAGAGAACTAAAAAGATATAGTACACTTCCCTGTTGCACAATCCTAGAAAAGCATCATCTGCATTATATTCTATGCAAATGATTGGTAAGATGATATGTCTTCTCAGTTCTTGACAATAAATGGCCTCTCAACTGAGTTAGTGGTCCTAGGAATATGCAACTTGTGGAATTAAACACTTGCAAAATTAAAAGCACATTATCTATAATGAGTAATGCTAATGAAAGCATCAATTCTCCTATTTATAAAAGGGGGACTGACTCAATAAGCCTTTCCAACATTGGAAATCTAAGCTAGTAACTTTAGCAAAATATTGCCAACAGACCAAATCCAACCTATTTTGCAAATACAATTTTACTGGCATATAGCCATGTCTATTTGTTTATGTACTATTGTCTATAGCTGAGCTGAGACAGAGACCAGATGGTCTGCAACACTGAAAATACTGTTATCTGGCCTTTCACAGAAAAAGTTTGCCAATTCTTGGTCTAAATATGAAATAAAGCATTCTTTATACTTAGAAAAATGAGTCAGACATACTTATATGTATACATATGGGTTCTTTAGAAAACAGTCACATAATAATTTTGCATTAATATACCTACAAGACAAGATCTTCATATTACTATGTATTGTATAATGCCTAATATTGCACCATGCACATGTGGATAATTAATATTATTAATTAAAATAATTAAAGAGCAGTATGTAATGCAGGAATAATAAAGCAAACTACCAGTTAAAGCACATAAAGAAATGGACTTTGGCATTGTTTTGATAGGGGAGCTTTTTTATTTCAGTGCTTTGCATATTTGTTCAAATTGACAGTCTCTACTAAGACTGTAAACCACTTTTAAAGCAAACACTTAAATATGGAGAGAATTACAGAACACTGTACATTTCTGGACACAGCATCTTTTTAGACAACAGTAATAATTATTGGATTTCAGTAATGTCCACTTTTGTACTTCACTGTTTAGGTTCCTCACTAAAGCCATATATATGTCTTTATAAAACATCAATGTCAAAAATATGCTCCCAAACATCTATGTATCTAAATTTCAAGTAGCTTAAGAATCAGTGAATTATGTCCTGTTCTGATCTGAAAGAACAAGCATTATTGATATGACAAGAAAAGTAAGATAAAAAATAGCAGAAACCCAACTTGTAAAAAGTACAACTAAAGGAAAATCTAGAAAGAAACATAATTAATGAAACACATTTGCATATTCAACCATGGCTTACTCAGAGGAAATATGATGCTATAACTATGGCACTGAAGAAAATTATTTCAATAAATGCAGAAAAATACTTACTTGTTTCACATTTTCAGCTAAGAAGACAATATAAACACTACAGAATCCCAGCTGTGTTATCACCAGAAAAAAGTCAACCACACTTCTGAAAAGAGATACCCACAAATGAGTATAATAAGAGCTGCTGAAATGTAAATATATATTTCCCTTTTTAATTACTTTAAAACACTTCATAATAGTGTGTATTCTTTTCAGTTCCTTAAAATAACACTTAAAATATTTATTTTCTACAAATATCATACATTTATGATCAGTATATCACTATAATTATTATTGAGCAAAATAATGTTCCATTAAGTTAAAAGGCCAAAATTTTCCCATCACTTATTTCTGCAATTCAACAGTTTATGAGTATTTGCTTATAAAATGATTTAATGAAAATGTGTCTTCTTTTAGATTAAGCACCTCTCTCCTACTTCTCATTTTTCAGATCAACCCAGTGTGTTCCCAGCCCTCCCAGCTTCATCTCATTTGCAGTATGATGAGCATATTCCCTGCTACCAAATCCCTAACAAGAACATGGAACGGGAGAGGACTGGGGGCACGGCCCTCAACCACACCATCGGAGGCCTCTTCGGTAGCTTAGCTCTGTCCTTATTTTCTAATGAGATACTCTAGAAAATTCCAGCTACCTAAAATAGTGTATGGGGAAGGAAAAGGTATATCACCAGTCAAATTAGCATTATTTGGGTATGGCAGTTAATCAAGTCATAAATTTGCCTGCATGTTAATTATACAGCCTATACTTCTCATTTTTCTTTAAATTCTCAACCAAGAATTAAATTCTCTCTAAAATTTTTATTGATTTTAGAGAGAGAGAAATAAATATTGATGTGCAAGAGAAGCATCAATCAATTGCCTCCTACACATGCCCTCACATGATCAAACCCACAACCTAGGTATGTGACCTCACCCGGAATCAAACCTGCAACCTTTTTGGTGTACAGCACGATTCTCAACCAACTGAACCACTCAGCAGGGCAATACTTCTCAATTTCATTCTGGGAACAATGAGTGACTATAATTGCATGCACCTACTAATTCACTACAGTCTCCTCTGACCATCATTGCCAAGCTGTCAAATACTCTGGTCTACCAATCTACAGACCCTCCTCTGACATTTGAAACTACAAGAGCCCTTGCCTAGATCTTCATTCTTGCCATCTCTCTCTACAGTTCTCCATGGCTCCTCAGGGATTTCATTTGTAAGTAATCTTGGTACCCTAAAATAAATTCAAGTTTCTTCTCTTTGATGAATTACATTTAAGTATTCCCTTAAGATCTCTTCATTCACCATTGACTTTAATATCTCACCAATAATCATTCCAGAAACTTCTATGTGAAAGCCATTCTTCTTGATAGAAAAAAACAGACAAGGTTGCCTCTAAACTGAGGCAGGAGGAAGAAGATACAGTGATACAGTTCTAGGGGGCAAATCTCTAGGGCATGAGACTCTTCTTCCTTTTGCTACTCAGCATATCAAGAACTCTGAGTAGTTCATAAAAAAATATAAATTCCTAAAAATCCCTAGAAAGGGATTAACACTATTCTTTTTCTTCTTTTAATTTTCACTGCAAATATCACTTGTACCATACTCAGCATTTTGTTGATTGCCTATGCTTATTTTTCTAGGCCTGTATTCATCTGACTTTGATTAGTTACATTAAATGATAAAGTTACATTTAAACAATAAGATAAGAGTATGCTAATAATACATGCTTCAAATATTTTATAAGCATGTAGCTTAACAGCATAATTTTATTTGAAATGAGATCACAATTTTTTTCTTTTTTTCCTTTACTTAAAAAGTTAGTGAACATAATTATATCATAGGTTAAGCCAGATGCTTTATAAATATCATTTTACTTAAACTACTGTAGTAAACCTGTGAATCGAGTATTATTATAAAGTCATTTCCTAGTGAGAAAACTAAAACAAAATAATTTGACCCAGGTCATAAAATTGAAAAATGGTAAAGTTGAGATCTGAAAAATCTGTCTAACTCTTAAGATTATGTTTCTTCCCCCAACTTGATCGTATTCATGTACCTTGTCAGATTAAAATACTTAAAAATTAATGTAATTTCAAAAACCAGATAGTAATCACATAGCAAGTACTTACCGTCCCCATGCTGCTTGCTTCTGAAGACAACTCCAAGGACTTACTTCCATAGCAAAACTCACAGTGTCACTGTAACCTAATGTTGACTTTTTAAACCTGTAAATTTAAAGACATACATGTATATTAAAAAAAAAAAAAAAAAAAAAAAGGTGTTTCATAAATTCTTCCTTTGAAAAGAACATCAAATAAATGGGAATTAATGAATACAGGGCTATACTCTGACAGAGGAGTTTTTGAAATCTTAAGATCTGCATACTCCTAAAGTATGTCTCATGAAATTTAAAAATGTTACATCTGTCCTTATTACCAATATATTAGTTTTATCTATTGTTAAAGTTTACATATTTGTAGAACTCATACAACATAATATTTGTGTTTCACTTATTTAAATATTTCAATTACCTAAAAACATCAACTACATTATTTATGCCTCAATTATCCCATTCTTGGAATAGCACTACTCAATACATTTGTACAGGGCTTTACAATATATTTTCCATAATCTATCTTATTTAATCCTCAAAATAGCCCCATGAGGTAGGTATTATTTCCCCAAGTCCTCTCTCCCACTTTTCTTTCAAGTATACATTGTTAAAGAGCATAAATGACTTGCCCAACGTTTTTAAGAATATTTAAAACAAGAGTTAAGATTAGAATATTAGTTTACTAGAGTAGATAATAGTTATTTTTTAAAAGTTGGTCCATTGTCCAGCAGAAGCATTTCATAATAAAGATAAAGAAAAAAAGAACAACCTTGGCCAGTTTGGCTCAGCGGTTAGAGTGTCAGCCTGCAGACCAAAGAGTTGCAGATTCGATTTTGGTCAAGGGCACATATCTCCATTGCGGGTTTGGTTCCTGGCCCTGGTCAGGTCGTGCGAGAGGCAAACAATCGATGTCTCTCCCCACCCCCAACCCCACCCTATTTTATCTGAAGATAAATAGAAAAATATCCTCGGATGAGGATTATAATATATATATTATCTTATGGGCTATCTACCAATCCACATATCAGCAAAAAGAACTCAAGTCATTATACCCCAAACTGAATTACTAACAAATTAAAGACCATTACACTATAACTAAAAGCAGTACTGCTTCCTCCATTTCCCCATATATCTTTTCTGATTTTTTTTTTTCATTTACACTAAATAAAGAAACCATTCTACCACTAATAGGGCAATATTTTTACTTATTTTCATTTTTGAGAGAGAGACATCAATCTGTTGTTCCACTTATTTATGCATTCATTGGTTGTTTCTTGTATGTGCTCTGGCGTATGGGGATGACACTCTAACCAACTGAGCTACCTGGACAGGGCCAATAAGGCTATATTTTATTTTATTTTTTCCATTTTTTTGTTTTTTTTCTTTTTAATCCTCACCCGAGGATATTTTTCTATTTATCTTCAAATAGAGTGGGAGGGAGAGAAAGGGAGAGAGAGAAAAACATCAATGTGAGAGAGACACATTGACTGGTTGCCTCCCACATAACCGCAATCAGGGCCGGGGACAAACCACAACCGAGGTATGTGCCCTTGGCCAGAATCAAACCTGCGACTCATTAGTCCATGGGTTGATGCTCTACTGCTGAGCCAAACTGGCCAGGGCAAGAAGGCTATATTTTAAAAGAAGTAAATATATTCTGACCAGATTTCAATCAAATGAAATGCTACCATTTTCCAAATTCATTATCTTAAACTTGTCTATACAACAGATTACAGGAAATGCAACTGCTAGTTGCAAGGCAGAGTAGAATTATAAGACTATCTAATGCTTCAAATAACTACACAACTTCAAAATAAATTAAATAGACTTAACGAATCCACATTTACCTCTGACAGAGAAAGTGACTGCAACGTACCAAAATGTGCATACAGTGAACAGAAATAATTCCTATAAATACAAGGCTGATTGGTCCAAGCTGTAGGGGAAAAAATTACAAGGAAATAATTCCTATAAATACAAGGCTGATTGGTCCAAGCTATAGGAAAAAAAATTACAAGTTTTAAATATTTACATTTAACAAAAATTAAGTTGCTTTAGAAGCCATAAGACAACAAACTACTCATTTGCAGAAAAATATTTGTTGGACAAAATGATTAAATAATCATTTGCATATGGGATAACCAATAAACTGCATATAGAAAGAATTTCAGTAATAACCACATATGATTCCATTTTATCAACTTAGCTATCTAAACCTATGAATACAGAATATATAGATATGCAACAAAGGTGGAATATATCTTATTTAAAATGAGATGGCAAGTCCATCACTAGCCAGAATAATTATATGCAACTATGAATTATCTAAACGACTACAAAAGCAATATATCAATCTGGGATTGTGGGCAATCCACTTCTTCTACAGACTGCTTGTTGAGCACTTACTATGTATGTGTGAAAAATTGTGTCTAGAAAATAATTATTTGAAAAAATGGTACATAACAAATTTCAAGTATTTATACTAAAATTAAAGTTATTCTTGGGTTACTGAGACATAAAATATTGCCAACGTTTACTTTAAGATGAGAAATTTTTAAGTTTCTCTAAATTAGTTCAAAGTCAAATGCAGAGAAAGATGGTAATTAAAACTATTTTAGAAAACTGGTCATTTAAAAAAATATAATTTCATTACTTCATAAGTGAATTCTCTCCATCTAGATTCTCTGTAATTACAATAACTGGTTCAAACAATACTTTAAATATTTATTTTCAAAAGATGATATTATTCCTTTTCTTAATTATTGTTCTTGAAATCTGAAAACTACATATTATATTCTGAATCTAAAAAATATAAATTTCACTAATACAAATGATCTGCTCTACAAATATATTTGTTGATACGAGTACACTGCTTATATCCCTGAAAATCCAAGAATAATAAGATATAAACATACCTGGAAAAATCAAATACTATTAGGCCCTTTCTGTCAAATAATATGTATTAGTAATTAGGTAGATATGAAAAGAGTAATTGTTAACATTTTTTGTTAGATACTATTATAACTGACATAACTGTATCAATATGATGGTTAAATAATTACTAAATGTCACCTGACCAGGTTTTTAGTGACCAGGCCAGATAGATGTTAATTTGTGGTAATTTTTGCTGTAAATTAAGACTGATAGCTGTATCTTAACTGGATAGTACAATGATAATTCTTACCACTATGCCTGCATTTTTTATTGCCAATGGAAGTCCTAAAAGGCCAGTTCCAATATTTCCTTTAAGAAGATGCATAAGAGTTTGTACAAATCTGAAAAGTAAAAGTTGTAAGATTAAACATTTTAGAACAAAGCTATTAAAATCACAGGATCATGGTTTTATCGTTAGAAGATAACTAAAATTTGATCTAGGCAAGGAAACATTTCAATTCAAGCAGAAGTAAAATGGGCCAAAAGTCATATTTGGTTCAAATCCCATCTCTGCCACTTGAAAGTAAAATACAACTGATTGATTTGTTGTTGTTGTTGTTAATCCTCACCCAAAGATATTTTTCCATTGATTTTTAGATAGAATGGAAGGGAGGGAGAGAGAGAGAGAGATATCGATGGGAGAGAGACACATGAACTGGTTGCCTCCACTGGTTGACCCCAGTACGACATGCCCTTGACCTGGAATCTAATCCAAGACCCTTTGGTTCAAGGGCTGACGCTCTTAACCACTGAGTGAAACCAGCCAGGGCCTGATTGAATTTTTTAATAGCAGTTTTAATTTATTTTCCATAAAAAAGTTCTCAATACTACCCAAAAACTTGACTAAAAAAATTAAATAAAAGTAAGATACAGAGTTATTAAGATTAAATGAAATATCTAAGTAAAATTATTTTTGTACATATTAAAGTAATTAAAAAAAAGGTAATTTTCTCATAAGATTTTTTGCAGCTAAAATATTCAGAACAATGTTAATGATTATAGCTAGGCTGTAAGACAGAGCAATTTATTGACATTATTTAATCATGGTACTAAACATAAAAGAAAAAACATACAAGTTTTAAAACAGTGTATATCATCAGGTCAGATAAATACTGATTCACTTTTAGACTTTATAAACTCCCTAAGGGATTTCACCTAAGAAAAGTTTCCAAGAGGTATTTGAAAGAGGTCTCTTGACCAAGAAAAAAATAAACTAGGAAGAATAGCACAAATTTTAAACTCATGAAACAAAAATGCTTGCTTAAAATATTTTAGTTTATACTGTTCTCTTCTTATCAATCAAAACATAACTGCTTAATCATTAAATTACTATTAGAATAAGAACTTACTCTAATCTATAATGATGATAAAATAAAAAATGTTTACAATAGTTCCACTGCATAAAGAAGGGTTTACTAACTACCTCCCATGGTCTGTCTAACTCCTAGCCATTTCAGAAGTACCTTCTCTTAAAATTTCTATTCCTGTCAATCAGATTTCCCTTCAAGATCCATAGCATTTGATATGTATCACCACTGCAGTAATTCCTACACATTGCTCTGTAATTCAGATGTATTTCTTCTTTCCCAAATAGACTAAACACCATGAGGGTGGGCACTATGTCTTATCCATCTTTGTGTTTTCTGTACTATCTAGTCACGTCCCTTGCCAACAGATGATGATTACTAAATATATACTGAATGAAAAGAAAAGGAGACATATAAACCATAATACTTACGAAATGCCCTCTTGATCATCAAGCTGGTAATGCTTTTGAACAGGTAGGAGCTCTTGCTCATGTTCTTCATCTGATGTCCCATCGAAGTTCTGCTCATTTATTAAGGGCCTCATTACATCCATATCTTTAAGGAGAAAAACAAAACACTTAACTATTCTTTTAAAAATTGAGTTAAAGCTAGTATAAATTAAAATTTTTAAGTAGTACATACCATTGGTACTCATCTTTACTATTTCTACCCTAAAATAATTCACATTAATATCCTGAGTTTTAGTATATTAAAAAAACAAAACAAAACTAGATTTATTTGCTGAATGTTTCATTTTGGACTAAGCAGTACAAAGTGAAAAGCATAATAAATATTCAATGCAAACTTCTTCTGCTTTGTCAACTACTTTCCATTTCTTTAGGTTAATTTATTTTTGTCTACCTCGGGGTCTCCAGAAGTTGAGTGAGTGAATTTTGTGCTGTGCTCTGTGGGGCCAGAGTAGATGCCACATCTGGACTCATCACTTCTTTCTTCCTGCTTTGCAGCCCTCTTAACTTTATCTTTCCTTTAATTTTTGAGGGTTATTTTTGGTAATGGCTTATGCCAGCAGGAATAGGGAGAACCTTTTATCTGCCAAGGGCTATTTGAATATTTACATCATCTTTGGGCCATACAAAATTATCAACTTAAAAATTAGCCTGCTCTATTTGGTCAGGCTGATTTGCTGAGACATGTGATATTAGCTGGTATTGATTTCAAGGGCCTTGTACAGCCCTCAGGCCAGATGTTCCCCACCCCTGGCTTATGGTTTCATATACTGAGGTGGTTCCTCATGCAGTTTAGAGTTGGTGACTGGTTCATTTCTTAAAGCTGAAGGTCTATAAACTGTTGCAACTGTAGGCTCTTCACGGAGTATGTCACTTAGAACTGCACGGTAAGTCACTGTTTTTGCTGCAGACATTCCATCTAAAAATGGCTGCCAAGAAACCTGCCACAATTCTGCATTTGATGGCACATCTAAGACAGAGCCAGTATAATGCCAAATCTTTACCCATTATGAACACATAACCTGAGCGCACATGTGGCTGTTAAAATATCCTCACCAACTGGGCATCTAGTACAACATGTAGAATCAGAGGCCATTGGTTTAGAAATAAGTTTGTAGTTCAACATCCCACACTCTCATCTGTCCTCTCAGATTTCCACATCCAGCTATTACTAATATATGTCCATGAGGGCTACAGTAGGCTGCGTTATGAAGACCAGTTCTGAAGTCAAACACAATCCCTTTCTAGCTCAGGTTCAAAGAAGGCAGCATCCATCACCACTGCCGTATCCTTCCCTTGGTCATTTCACCCTGTCCTGTCACTGCTACCTCTCTAATCTCATCTCCTGCCACTCTTTCCCTTGCTCATTCCTCTGAGTGTTCCCTCTTTGTCAAAAGGTATGGGGTAAAGAATCCATGTTTACCTTCTCTCCTGGAACCTCTCCATTGTAGAAAATCATAAAGATGAGTATATGAAAGTGGTCAGCAGGATGCTACGGACTGAATGTTCTGTCTCTGAAAATTCATACACTGAAATGCTACTCCCCACTGTAACAGATTAGGAGGTGGGCCTTTGGAAGTAATTAGGTTTAGATAAAGTCATGAGGGTAGTGCCCCATGATGGGATTAGTGTCCTTATAAGAAGAAGAAGAATATAAAGTCCTCTTTATACTATATGTGGACACAGCAAGAAGACAGCCACCTATAAAGCAGGAAGAGGGCTCCTACCAGGAACTGAATCAGCTAGCATTTATTTCGGACTTCCCCCCTCTTCAGAACTGTGAGAAATAAATGTCTGTTGTATAAGCCACTTAAATTTATGGTACTTTGTTAAAACAGCCCAAGCTGACTAAGACACAGGAGTTGCTTTTCATGTTATAACAGATTCTGATAGCTTACGTTTTGATTTGCTAGTGAGAGGGCTGACAAAGATTAGGGTGGCTTTTATACACATCAGCTTTGCAAGCAGAGCACAGTAGAGTAGCCAGTGCAGAAGCACAAGTTCTCCCACAAATTTTATTGGTTTCTGGTCCTTCTCGAAAGCTTCTATTAATAGACTGTCATCTCCTCTCCGCAGCATCTACTGACAATAGCCCCTCCTCACAAAAGGTCTGTGCCTCCTGATTGAATGTATTCAATAAAAGAGAATACAATCATTTTCAGAGCAATTGCACAAGTATTTAATGGAGCCTCAATATATGCCAGGTACTATTATGCTGGGAATAAAGCAATCACTGAAACTAACAAAAATTCCTGTCCTCATGGAGCTCAAATTCTATTGGGAGAAGGGGACAACAAATAAGATAGGTAAAATAGAGACCATGCTAATGTTAAGTGCTAAGAAGAAAATTAGGGATTGGGCGGGTGAGCCTGTAATTTTAGACAGGATAGCCAAAGTAGGCCCCACAGAGAAAGTGGAATTTTAAAGACTTGAAGGAAGGGTGAGAATAAACAATGTAGCTCTATCTCAGGGAAGAACAATCAGGCAGTGGGAAGGCAAAGGCTCTAGGGATGTGGAGAGTCTGGTGTGTTTAAGTAGGAAGGAGGCCAGAGTAGCTAGAGAGGAGTGAGCAAGAGGAGTGAGCGAGGGGAGAGCAGTGAGAGAGATCAGGCCACAACAAAGGACAGATGGCAAACAGCCTCCTAGACAGCACCAAGGGGCATGAAAGCCACTAGAGCAGTGCTGACCAACTTAAATATAACGTGAGCCACAAACATAATGTAAAATTTTCTATAACCACATTTCTTAAAAGAGGAAAAAAGCAACACGTGAAGTTAATTTAATAATATATTTTATTTAGCCCAATATATCTAAAGTATTATCATTTCAACATGTTATCAACTTAAAAGATTATTAACAAGCTATTTTACATTCTATTTTTTCATACTATGTACTGGATATCCAGTGTATATTTTACACTTACAGTGTATTTTAATTTGGACAAACCACGTTTCAAATGCACATATGGCTAAAGGCTACCTTACTAGACAACCCCACAGTAGAGTTTTATGCAGAGGAATGACATGATCTGATTTGTATTTTAACCAGGATTTTTCTGGGCCTATCTCTGCATGTGTAAAATGAGAGTAGTCACCTCAGAGGGTTTTATGATAAAGAAGTGAGATAATATATATGAAGCATGGAGCCTAGCTCCTGGCACACAGTATCAATACCTACTAGTTTTCTTCCCCTTCTAACATAATGATATATTAGAAGCAAATTATGCTACAAAGAAATTTTAAATGTAAATTGACAAGAAATGTATTTGTTAATAATTAATAATTCTGAGTATGTATAAGCTATAAACTGTGCTATAATACTGAATATACAAAGATAAACAAAATGTTATGCTAGCCAGAAGGAATAGAGACTAGTAGAGGAGACAAATATTTCAAAACCTAACATGGTAAAAGCTTTAACATTAAAACATATGAAATAAAATCACACAAAATAATTAAAAATTACAAAATCCAATTTGCATTATATATAAAGTCTATTATTTGCCAATGTCTTGCTATAATTTTTGGCCAAGTGCTGAATTGAGAAGCTCTGAAAAATGCTATGTGATTACTATAAGTAAGAATTAACAATACTTTATAAAAATAAATGCTATTAGGCAATGGATATCAAACTACCTAGACCTAATTTCTATTTATAAATGGAAATAGAAATAGACACTAGCTTCAGTCAATATTATACATATACATTATACACATATATACATTAATGGTGCATACAACTGGAACATTCTTAAATTAGGCAGTGCTTGTATGCTGTCTTATACTGTTCAGACAATTATTTCAACCTCAATTTCCTAACCTGAAATCAGCCTAAATTTCCAGTTTTAATCAGATGAAATAAAAATCACATTAATTAAGCAATATATATTGAAATCTTAAAAATATTTGTTTTCACTTAGTAATTGCACTTTTAATGAGCTATTATTTCTGCACAAAGACATTAATTGAAACATGTTAAGAATTTGGAAACAACCTAAATGTGCAACAATCAGGAAATTGCTAAATTAACTATATAGTGCATCCACTTTATAAAGTATTACAATAACATTAAATTATGGTTTTGACATCTGAGTAAAACAGGCAAAAGTGTACCATATGGTGAGTGGGATAAAACTGAATAATCATAGTATGAGTGCAATATTTTTTTGTTTGTTTTATTTTTGAAGACTATTTTTGCTGGGTACAGAATTCTAGGTTGGCAGTTAGATTGTTTACAGCATTTAAAAATGTTGGTGCAACAATTTATGGTTGTTGTCAGGAGGCCTCGGTTACATTCAACACGGGTCCTCCCTTATGGCTGCTTAAGTATTCTTACAACATGGTAGCTGGCCTCCTCCCAAGTGAGTGAATCCAAACGACAGAGAGCAAGGCACAATGCCAATTACTATCTAGCTGTGAAGTCACACATTTTTACTTCCAACATAATCTATTCATTAGAAGCAAGTTACTAAATTCAGCCCACAATTCAAAGGGAAGGAAATTAAGTTCCTCCTCATGAAGAGAGAAATATCAAATATTATAAACATTAAAGACATATTATAAAACCACTGTAACATCTCAGTTGAACACAATTCCTTGTCTCTTATCCAATCTATTAGAAAATCATTCTGGTTCTACTTTCAAAATACTGGGTGGGGCAAAAGTAGATTTACAGTTGTTGTATGGAAAAAGGCATGCAAGTTATGATTATTACAATAGCTTTATTATTTTTTAATCCTCACCCAAGGAGATGTTTCTATTGATTTGAGAGCAAGCCAGAGGAAGGAGGAGGGAGGGAGAGGGAGAGAGAATGGGAGAGAGAAACATTTATGGGTTGCCTCACATTCCTGCTCTGACTGGGATCGAACCTGCAACCTGGGGTATGTGCCCTTACCGAGATCAAACCCACAACCTTTCAGTGTATGGGACGATGCTCCAACCGAGCCTCACCAGCCAGGGCACAAGAGCTCTACTAATTCTATTTTGCACACTCACAGCTGTAAACCTACTTTTGCCCCACCCTGTGTATCCAGAGTCTAACCACTTCTCTCCACTCCCTCTGCTCCTCCCATACTGCTGTGAAGGACAGGTAAATCTTTCTTGAATTGCTGAAATACCCTTCTGCTTCTACTTTTCCCCCTTATAGTCTATTCTTCACACAGCAGCCAATGCAA